ACATGTGGGTGTAAGAGTTCAGCGGCAGGGAGGAGTCGGCCGGCCCGGAGGAGGAAGACGAAGAGATTGTTGGTGTAGCCAATGACGAGGTTGGACACGAACTGCTCGAAGGTGGCGTAGACGCATGCAATCCTGTAGAGGGACAGCATGAAGAAGTACACCCGCTCCCATTTGTCACCATAACACCAGGGGTCACCATAGGCGTCGACGAAGTCTTCCCTGAGGTCAAAGCCGAGGTCGAAGTAGTAGCATCTCCACTGTCCAGGCCAAATACATCGGCGTCTGTCACCCCATGAACTTGACCAAGTGAAGCGGGGAGCAAGGAGGCAGAGGAAGAGGAAGACCAGGGCGGCAAAACCGAGGGTCGTCCACGTAGAGCTCTGCGATCAAGGACCATAGGCAGCCAATCCACAGCCTGCACCATCCGGGGTTCATCCGGTTCCAACCCCTCACAACGAGGACGCTCAGAAGCCGTAGAGGACAAAGCGCCAATGTCGAACGGCAGGGGCACGTGGTCAGGCGGAGGAGGTTCACTGAGTGAGGAGGATGCCGTCGTGGGTGCATCGACAGTAGGCAACGGAGCGGGTTCCCAGTCGAATTCCTCCGTTTGGGCTGCGATCCACACATCCTCATCCCAACGCGCCGCCATGTAGACAGCGACCTGTGACGTGGACCACGGCGCTTGCGTACCAGCGTGCGCGGGTATGTCAGTCGGGTCTGTGGTGTCATTCCAAGCACTCGTCCCAGGTTGTAGCGAAGAGCACGTGGAAGTCCAGGCAGGATTCACCCCCGTCTCCGGCAAACCAGACGTCCAGGGGGGCATGGAAGACGAGGAAGAGGGCGCATCACGTCCCGGCGGAGGCACGTTGGTGTCCCGCGCTGCCAGCGCCAAGGGCCAGCAAACATGTAGAAGACGAAGAAATCCCGCGGTCCGAAGGAGCGCGGCCATGAAGAGCGTCGCGAGCAGGGCGAGGGGGGCGTTTTCCACGTCGTCCTAACTCGAGCCTGAGAGTGACGGGAAGAACAGGCTCATGTCAGGCGGCAGGCTGGGAATATCAGAGATGTGTACATCAATGCCATCACTGTTCTGGTCCGTGCCCATGTAGACAGCACATCGATAAAGTGAATGTTCAAAGCGATCATGGGCGTGTGCAGGCCACTGCAAAATGGAAGACAGGCTGCAAGCACTTGATCAAGTACGATGGAAAACACAAGGAAATATAGTCATCTTGGTAGTGCAGGTGAGTAATCAACATTGACAAATAGAGTGGATCACACCGACAGACAGAGAAGCTCCAACAGGACAGGACACAGTCACCCTCACTCGCAGTCAGAAGTATCAGAAACCGCCACGAAACTTCATCCCCTCCAACCACGAAAGGAGAGTGTACTCAATCACGTAGAGCGAGTTGGCGCCCCGAGCTCCATTTCACATCCCAAGTGCGAACATAGTGCGTTCTGGCTTGTGCCCAGGCTTCTCGATCTTGTGCTAAGACTGGCCAGTGATTGCCCAAAGCTTCACTGAGCTGGCGTTCAGTGTTACTTGCAAAGAAGTGACCAGGATGGCGAAGTCCAGAGACTTTGAGAGCTTGTTGTTCACGCCACCATGCAGTGCACCTCCACACAACAGCCCGCATCGGCAGACAAGGTGAGGCAAATCCAGTGCTTGGCTGTATTTCCGAACGGCGACTCCAATGCCCATGAAGGTTGAATTGGAGCTCAATTTAAGTATGCGATCAGACCATCTAAGCCAACCACCATTGTGAAGCCACACCCTGACGAAGCGCATGCTGCGAGTATTCCAGTCCAGCCATGACTCTCCAGAGAGGCGTCTGAGTTGGAAGGCCGAGCGAAGAATGTGCAGTTGCAGAGTGTTAGCCGCCTGTAGTTCTTCGTTGCCCCAATGGAGAGCGCCTGCGCACCAAGTAAATCGCGATTCAACAAGGCATCGAAGCATCTTCATCTTGTTCGTCCACGAGCCTTTGGCCCCAAGGATGTCCTTGTGCATGCCAGCTGCTGCGCGAGTGCGGGCAAGAAGCTCAAGAGCCTGTTGGTTGGGTTTTTCATACAAAGAGAAGTTCACCCCCAGGACCTTGATGGATTCCGAGGAGGGTGCAATACAGAATTCATCCGAACCAAGACGAACACGACGGGCCCCAGAGAACGCGGGGCTGGCGATGATTTTGGTCTTCTTAGCCGCAAGTAGCAGACCAGCCCGTTCAAGTCCCCGTCCGACAGCACGTATCCGTCGCGCGAGTGAGCCAAGTTGCTTGTCCAGCACAAAGATGTCGTCCTGGTAAAACAGCAGTTCGGCAGCCAAACCTGGACAGGGTTCACCAAGTTCACCCCATTGGCGTGAGGCAACCAGGTCAGAGAGGATGGCGTCAACCATGAGGCCAAAAATCTCGGCACTTTCCGGGGCTCCTTGTTTGATGCCATTGTTGGGCCGGATTTTGATGCATTTCCCGCCCGGAACACGCCCTTCCAGAACATGTACGCGGAGTTGACAGAGAAGATACCGAAGTTCATGGTCAACCATCTTCCCCCCTGCACGAAGTACAAGGAGTTCGGCAACTTTGCCACGGTCGACTTTGTCAAAAGCACCAGCCACATCCAGCTTCGCAATCACAAGAGGCATCTTCCACTCGCGGGTAACATCTCGGATTCGAGATATCGCCCCAATGAGATCCGCGGCTTGACGTCCTTTGCCACAGCAAGAGACGTAGGAGCCCCGACGTAAGTGCGGCATGATCCGACCACAAACGAGGCGGTTGACAAGTTTGTTGAAAGCGCTGCTGACACAGATCGGCCGAAGGTCATTGGCCGCACGCGGACAGTCACACTTAGCAAGCAGGGCAAGGTAACTCTGCGACCACGATTCAGGCAGTTGTTGGGTACTGACAATGTGGTTGATCAGCGAAAGAAGCTCGAGCCCAAGTGAATCATGACTTGCCAATGTCCGGAGAAGGTCAACGCTGATACCATCTGGCCCAACCGCACTGCGAGGGCGCATCCCAACCAGTTCGGCACGAACATCAAGCAAGGAGAACTCAACAAACTCACCCCGGATGTCAACCGCATCAACCATGTTCTGAAGACGTTCATCCCAGTCAACGATTGTCTCGTCAGTCATTTTCGACTCAAGATGTTCACGGACTTCGTGTGTGAGTTGCGAAGACGAGCGGTTGGCAAGCATCTCTCCCCCACCATCCTGTTTTGCGGTTTTTCTCTCCTTGAAGCTGACGGAAATCATGCCATGAGCCACCGAGGATGCGGCTCAGACGGGCTTCTCTCCATTGAAGACGGGATGCTTTGCGGAGGCGGTGAACTCGCTTCCAGTCAGCACGATGTTTGGAGAGTCTGGCGGCGCCAATAGCATCTTTAGTTTCCTGATCATCACGGAAGGCCTGAGACACCCGAGGCCAGGTGTACAACTTGCTAAGAGCAGAGACATCATCAGCGTCAACGATGACACCGTCAGGAATCTCACCCCTGACCCATCGAGCACGAGAGTCATTGTTCCAGAATCTGGCACGCCCCCGACCATGTGCGAGAATATCTGCATAAACAATGGCATGGTCGGTCCCAATCGTGTGTCGCCTGTCTGGATCAACAGTTGCCGTCTGAACATGCAAATGCCGGGAAAGAAGGAGGTCAATTTGGCGCCCTTGTCTTTCTTCATCCCTGGGGAAGTGTGTCGGGCACAATCTCTGCTGGTAGGAAGGAGACAGACATTGTATCCCTTGTATAGTCGCCTCATGAAGAAAACAACGAAGGTTGGAGGTGCCTTGCGCAATCTGTAGGCTCGGGGGTTCATCTCCATCGAGATGCCAGCAGATCTCCTCGTTCAGGTCCGTCCCACAAAGCA